AAACACAACGAGGCCCAAAAGGCTACAAAGTGATACAAACCCGAACAAAAACAAACCAAAAAAAAAATCTGTATAGTACTGACTGTACAACAGGTGGTAAATTCTCTGCCGAGGTTCCCCCCGCCAAGCCCAGGGACCCCAGCCAGCGCCACAGCCTCCAGCCTCCCGGGGGGCGATGCCAGTCACTCATGGGAGGTTTACAAGCAGAAGCACCTCGGACCCTTTCACTGGGGGGTTGTGGGGCAAGTTTTAACCAAAACCCTTTAAGAAATCACTTTTCAGGAGGCACCTAACTTCTCAAGCTTTCCAGCTTCTTTTTTGGAGTATCGCATTCAGCGGGCTGGACCGTTGTTTCTGTGGCAATTGCCTGATATATGCATTACAGAAGAGCTTAATCTGTAGAAAGAGCTTACTGAGCATTAATCAATAATTTGGGAATCGGAATAAAGCGACAACTTGGTATTTAAGTCTCGGGTACATGTGGCCTCCAGCTGCTCTGAAAAAACCCCTGTGCTGGCACCTAGAGATCAAATTAAACACCTCCCCTGCCTCACTCTGCAGGGTTTCTGAAATAGCTCAAGATGCACATGCTCATCTGTACAGCGTGCAAAGCGTTTAGAAATCACCAAGCAGCAACAGATGGGTTTTGCAGCCTTTAAAATCAAAGCTATTTTAAGATCATTTCAATTCAATGCCAGGAAACTAGAAGCCTCACAGCAAAGGCTATCTACTGGCCGGGAACTGTTGCTCTGTCCTCTTAGGTTGCCTTCACTGCCAGGATTCTCTCTCCCATTCCTTCTCACCCAGACCAATTATAAAAAAAAGGTACAATATTTAGTCTGACAGGATTTAAGTTAAAAAATAAAAAGCTGTCCAGTCCTTTAACTTTATCGTGAGGAGTTTGAGCTGGAGCGGCTGCGATGGCGCCTTCGTCCAGGAGATCTGGATCTTGATCGCCGGCGAACAGGGGATCTGCGCCGTGGAGACCGGGACCTGACAGACAAGAAGGAGAAAGCTTTCTTTAGGAGACAAGGGCAACAGGTTCCACTGTTCTGTCAGCTCATCTACCAACTTCTCAAAAACACTTCCCCACTCCAAGAAACCCTCCACACACCGTGGTAAAAGAGCTGCAGCTAAATACAGCCAGCTCCAGAGAGGAAAAAGGCAGTTCAAACACTGACTACTCAGCAGAGATATTCCAGCCACCCTCCCCTTCGCTTCCAGAAGCTGAATGTTTGACATCCAAAGCACAGACAAGAATCTTCTCTTCTTCCTCAAGCAAAAGAGGCTCATGTTCATTCCACATCAGATCCTCCTTCACCTGAGAGGTCAAGCTTTGACTCTTGAATTACAGTGATATTCCGGGAAAAGATTTAAGTACTTTCAAACCACAGGGACATTTCTCAGAGAAAGTTATCTCTAAAGAAATAGTTTAAACTTCAAGCTCTTCAATAAGCCACCAGTATGACACTGAGGGTCCAGGCACAGAGGATCAGAGCCTGGAGAGGATACAAGAAGTTAGACGAGGAAAGAAAACAAATGATGGAGGGGGGCGGAACGCCAAACCTAGTTTTTGCCAGACCTTAGTAAAACTCACGTTGGAAGGAGGATCAACAGGCAGTGGACCTTGTGTCACATTAACTAGTTCTCAGTTCTAAATCTGTACCTCGTAAGCTGTTCAGTGGCTCAAACAGGAGTTGCTTTTACTAGTGACAAGAATTTAAGCAGACTTGTGAGACAGAGCCAGTTTAAGATGCTGAGGAAGACTCCAAAAGATTTATGATCTGAGCACGTTCCGGCAGCCCCAAATCATGCAACAGGCACGTACATGTCAGGTCACATCCTGGGCCAGTGTACTCTGCTCACCTGGCGTGGGAGGACTGCTTTTTGGTCACTTGCCCATCCAGAGAAAAAACAGGAGAGGTACAAGGGCTTCAAAAGCAAGCAGCCAGAAGAGGCTGCCAAAAGCTTTCTGCCAGCCAGAAGTCCCTTCTACACCTCAAAGCACTTACACAGAAGGGAAAGCACCTGACATTTCTGTATTCAGGGTGTAGACCAGAGCTGGGTACCACGGCACTAAGGAGTTAAATACAATCCAGGTTCAACTGTTACCGTCATTTGGAGGAGAAAGTCAAGTCCAACAGGTTAAATTTGTCCCCGTGAATTGTCACAGCTCTCACCTTCTCCTCATGCGAGGGGGTGACCTGCGCCACATCGGTGGTGGTGGCAGCATCCTCCTGGGCGGGCTAAAGCGTCTGGGAGGCGGCCGCGGCCGCGGTGCCAGCACAGCTGTGGCAGTGATCTCTTGACCGTCTATCTGGCCTTCACAGAGAATCGCAGAAACAGGGAAAAGTAAGTATCTTCCAACGCTAACATCTATATATCACATTACTGCAACTCACAGCTTTTGTCACAACAACTGAAACGTGAATTGGCTTACAATGCTATTTCTACCACCTTCTCAGGGGTTATTTTCACAAAGTCCATGTACACACTAGACTTCCTAACCTAATATCCCATCAAATTACAGTTCATATGTTAACCAGGAAAGATTTTCACAGAAATTTACAGAATTTTATTACTGCTTCTTTTGAAAAAACTTAACCCCTCAGTTTTAACAGTTTTGTGATTTTTTGGATTTGTCCTGAAAAAAGCCAAAGCCATTTGGGCTGAAAACAGACAGTATTTCACATCAGTTCCCCAAATGCTTCCTCACTACCTCTAACTCCTTTTCAGATCAAACTCATCTGCTCCAAAAAAACTTTTAAAAGCACCCAGCCTCCCTGCAGCATTTGATACCTACCTCCATCCATGTGTTTCAGGGCTTTCTCAGCATCATCTGGATTCTCAAACTCCACATAAGCATAACCTTTAGAGAGGTGTGGATTTAGCCTGTCAACTGGCATGTCAATCATTTTAATTTTTCCGTAAGTGGAAAAAATTTCCATAATGTGATCCTGCAGAGAAAGAGCGAGTCTTAAGGACACAGACCACACTTACTGATTAGGCCTGGCTGGCGCAGAGCAGTAAATCCAAGGTGTGCACAGCACTAGATTAGCTTTAAATCAATGCCGCCACCAGGAGGAGATGCAGTTCATTGGCCAGATGAAACCACTTACCTCTCAAGACCTTTAAAGTATATTCTAGTAAAGACAACTCAAGCCAGCCCAACTCTCTTCAGGTTCTTTATCAAGAACCTCCAGTTATCCTTAATGCCTTAATGCCCCCAAGGTAATTTCAGCTCTTAGCCCAACTTCTACAATTTTCTACCTAGGAACTGAACACTGACAATGCACACAGACCTCTTAAGCACAACACAGTCTCAAAAGCCTGGGCTGTATTTGACTCAGTAAAATTCCAACAAAAATCTTCCTCACTGATCAATGTGGACACAAAGCAAGAATTTCCAACAGCAACACCTTGGCAGCAACAAAAAGCCTTTGAAAGATTTAAAAAAGTAATTCACACGAAGCTTGATGTTACAGGGCAGCACGCTCTTACCTTGGTCACGTTTCTAGTGAGTCTTCCAACGTGCACTTTTGTAGGTCTGGGCGACGGGCTCCGCCTCTTGCGCTCCTTTTCATCTCTCTTGGGTGGCTTAGATCTGATTTCAACAATAGGAAACGTTTATAGTTTTCAGGAAACATGACAAAACCAAGAAGCGAGTCATTATCAGTCATTTAAAAGCACCATTTTTCATGGTAGGCCATAATTTTTTCTGAAGAAGTTTCGGGTTAGGAAGTGCTGGGTGGCAGTGAGGATGTTCCACTCAGAAACACCTCAGGACTTGCATTTGTCCTGTCTGGTTTTGCTTTAGAACTCTCTAGAATCTGAGAGCCTTTCTCCGTGACTTCTCAACTGTACTACAACTAGGGTAATAAGCATGAAATTTAGCAAACATTTCTATAAAGATGCTGGCCATAGTTAAAGACTTCTGCAGTTGTTAACACAAAAAAATTTCTTTGCCTCAACAATGTAAGAGGCAAAATGAGGACAAACACCAAAGCATACCACAACTGGGCAAGTTAACGGGTCCACTGATTGGTGTTTCTGTATCTTCTGTTCACTACAGAGGTCCAGAAACATCACCGTTAAAAACCCCACTCTTTAAATGGCTCCGCATCACAATTTCTTTGTAGGTTTTGTTTTTTTCTAAAAATAAATCTGGAACGTAATTTGTATCTGTAAAAAATTCAGCACACAGAAAATTTATATTTATGCTTTTTCATAACCTTACTGTCCATATATTGAGTGATATACTAAAAAACCCCACAACACACTGGCTTAGATTCAGTAGATTTTATCAGCACTTTACCTACAGACTTACCCAAAGGATGTTAACAGTTTGATTCCTACCCTTAAAGGAAAAGGATTCTTTTGCCCACTGCCCTCCCCCCCCTTATATTTTCTACACATATAAACCATTTTCAGCCCTGACTTCACGGTTAGTCTTGGCTGTAATTTACAGGAACCAAAGATCTTTACCCTCATCTACTGCCCACATAGTCCAATACTACTGGGGAAACATTGATTAAGACTGCCTCTACAAAATATTGTATTTAAAATCACTTTTTAAAATTAGAGTTTTAATCTCCCTTCCTACCAGGCATATGTTTTGTTTGTTAGCAAAAGGACCACACCCATTCTAAGAAAATTCAGATCTCTAAGTTATGGAGAAAGCAAATGGTCCTCAGAAAACAACCTGTTCTGATCACAATCTTGTATTCTACACGGAAATGAAGCCACCATCTGGTAATTCCTAGAAGGCGAATAAAACTCACTTGGAGCGGGAGCGTCTCCTGTTGTCATGTCTCCGCCGAGATGGACTTGGAGATCCTGAGGAGCTGCTGGAACTGGAACTGCGTGAGGTGCTGGAGCTCCCAGAGCGGCTTGAGGCAGAAGAGGAGCTAGAGCCACTGCTAGAACCAGTGCTTGAACTGGACCCTGAACTGGAAGTTGAGCTGGAACGGGATCTGTTTGGGGTACGGGGAAGAAAGACAAGTAGAGTACCCAAAAAAAGAACAGCTGAAACACTTCTCATAAATATGGAGAGAGCAACTGCAAACCCTTGCTCCACAGCTCACTAGACAGCCCTAGGAAATTCACATTTAAAAAAAAAATAACCCTCCTTAAGACAAAACTGCATCGCAACTAACACAATGCAAAGTTACAACAGGTACACAACATAAGGAACGAGCCATGCCACAGGTGCTTTCTGAAAACACTGTAATTTGTTACTACTTTTAAAAGTAACTACCTGGTACTGCTGCTTCCACTGGAAGCACTGCGTCTTTTGCGTGTCTTGTCTCGACCACGATCCTTTTCCCCCGATTCCTTAGTGGCTGCTTTATCTTTGGACCGGTCTTTTGATTTCTCTTCAGACCTATCCTTGCGCTTGGTTGGTGAGGGAGCCCTTCAACAACAAATTGCAAAGACGTTATTTAATATGGAAAATCCACAAACAACAAAAAAACCCAAGCAAAGAACAGAACAGCAGCATGAAACATTGAACTTCAAAAATAACTCAAGATCACCATAACTGCAGAATTAAAGCATTAGGCAAGTTTAGACTTTTTAGAAAAAGGAATATATTTACATTGTGGAGAAGCTTTGATGAAGACAGCTGTGGCACACAGAAACTCACGCACAGAAATTCACACAGAAGGAGGTACATTTCCAACTCTTTGACTTCACTGGAAGAGCCCTAGCACCCTGTAACGTCCCCAGTTTTGTTAAGCCTAGAAAATTCAGACAGAATGACTACCTAGTGGGTTTCTTAATTGTTTTTCTGAATCCTAGCAAACTCTTCGTTTTCAGTCCTGGTAACTCCATTTCCCCTTCAGAGGCATCCGAAGCGGCACCGAATGGGCCTCACCTATCTCAGATCTCACTTCTAACTCCTCGGTTCTGAGAACCAATCCTTAATTGAGTGCAATAAACTCCAAAGAAAAGCCTAGTGACAAGACAAAAGGGTTTAGAAACAAGACATTAACAGAGAGGTATAAACCAAGAAACCTGCTGTGCAACAATGGCAGCACAGCGGGCATCAACTGACTCCTACGGAGGACTTGTTCGTCACACGGCTCCCAGCCAATGGCTCGTGCTCGTGCCCTGTACCTTGTGTTAAAATCTGCATCCGTGTTTAATGTTCTCACTTTGACATCCACAGAAGTGCAAAAGATCTTAATTATCCAACTGGAAAAAAAAAAAAAGGCAGGCAGAGGACATTCATTTTCTCCACAAGACAGACACGCAGCTCACACCTCTTGACAACAGCCTTGTCTCCAGCGGAGTAAGCACAAGTTTTCTCCAAAGCCAATTTGTGCCATATAACATGTATTTGTTAGGAAGAAAGGGTCACTGAGAACAATCCACACATACACTGAATTACAGCTGCTTTTGGCCTTGGCGAGGTGCTTCCACATCTCTGGCAGCCTTGGAAAGACCAGATTAAAAGGTCCAGTTTCCTGCGCCGCTGCAAGAGCAGATCCCACTTTCACTTCTCAGCAAAAAGTATGAACTGGATTCTGACCTCGTCTAGCCCCGGTGAGTTCCCTCTTTACTCTAGCTCCACGAAGAGACAAATTTAACACTGAAATTAGTCGAACTGCAGAGGTTTCCCTTGAAGGGGCTGCACCTGCCACATATTCTGCAATGTCTAAACCATGCTGTCGCATTTTGACTATTCCACACGGATAGTTTAACACCTACATTACAAAAAAGCTGCCCCCAGTGTATGTTTCCACAACCACTGAAAGAGTGGGGCAGGTTTGCTTTGCTGTTAATACCCATTATCTACCTGTGATCAAAACACTGAGGAACTGGAAGTGTGGGCACAAGATTTCCCTGCTTGCTGCAGGGAGGTTGGACTAGATAACTTCTGAAAGTCCCTTCCAGCCCAATGCATTCTATGTCTGAACTGCCAGGCTTACCTGAAGAGGCACTGAATATTCACAGTTCTGCAGAATGGTGGGAATGTCTCCACATGCCTCGCAGACAACATCAGCTAACACAAAAAACCCAACTTCTCCAGCTCACTGCATCCAACAGTCTTGTCATCTCCATGCTTCCAGTGTCAGATTCTGGTAAGCAATGGCCTTATTCTCTAAATGACACTTAGATTTATGTCTGGGAAGAGATCACTTAAGAACAGCTGAATTCGCTTTCCTGGTTTTTCAGCTTCACAACCCAAAACCAAACTGGCAAGTCCAAAAAGCAACACCAATGAGTATCTGTGAACCCAGTTCCCCTTGGATCCTGAAGTCAAGAAACACCTGCGCCTTTCTGCATGGACAGCAGGAAACCCACGGCACAGATGTGCTGCGGGCAGGGCTTGCTGGGAGCGGCAATCAGCTGGCAGCAGCAACTGTCTCACAGGTGCTGCAAAGGTGACCAGGGCAAGCAAACCTGTGTACTTCACTCAGCAATGTGGCACTTCTGACCAGCTCTATGTCTCTAGTGCAAAGTGTGAGGGGCCTGCAGTTCAGAAGTCGAAAGCTACTGCATGAAACCAACCGACTCTCTTGGAAGAACAAAACAGACGAGTTTCTGGACTCACAAGATGAAAAACTCAACATTTTCCTTTTCTGCCTTTCTTCTCCTGAATATACCATCGTCAAGTTTGTGCAATCTCTTCCTACACGCTGACTTCCTGTGCATGTGTGGACTCCTCAGGACAGATAACTTAGCTGAACACACACTCAGCCAGCTTCCATATGATGGTACCCATAGCGTTAAGCAGCCTCCGGACTAAACAGTGTTTTCCACCCACGAAAACACAAGTGTCTCTCTCAAGAATACCACTTGCCTAGCTCATTTCAGCTGGAAATCCCAGCCTAAGAGACACAGCCTGGGGGGTTCAGACATTAACTGGGATATGTGGAAAGAACTAAATCACAGCCTTCACACAAGGGTGTACAACAATGCGTTTCTAAGCAACATGCTTTTTTGCTACAATCTAAAAACACTCTCGGTCCCTAACAAGAGAACGTTTTGGCAGCATCCACCACAAAGCAGAAAATTTAAAAGCAATCTATGCAGGCTAAACATTCATTTCACACACACACACACACCTCTCTGCTTTAAAGAGTTGAGCTGCCCTCCTAGAGAGCTGCGATTTCACAGCAAAGGAAGCAAACTCCACTCTCTCTCGGAATTCCAGCACGACTACAGGCAAGCCCTGTAATGGCAGCTTGCTTCAGATCCTCATTTGCAAAACGGGGAAAAGATTTCCTCGGCCGAGGAGAGGGTTCGAGCGCTCAGCAGCTCTTTGCAAAGTTACGGCAGCTCGCCCGAGCAGAGCACAGCGAGCGGGGCCGGAGGAGCGCGGAGGCCGCCAGCTCCGCGTCCCGGCTGGCAGGCCGTGGGGTGCGGGC